CGGCGTGACCCTGACTTGGGAAGCTGCAATCCTGCGAGCGCCGATATTTTGAGTCGGTGCCAATTCCTTGCTGCCGCGCATCATTAAAGCATTGAAATGCAGCTTTTATTTTAATATAAAAGACGACTTTTCTTTTTTAAAAAAAGGAAAATATATGTAAATTTTTGCCCTTCAATTTTGCAGCGGATTTTATTCGCTGTTAAGTCGAAGAATTTTCTCGAGGAAGTCTCAAAAATTGGTATTTTCTCTGGAAAACTTAGGCAGTAATCGAATTTAATTCGGCCCTTTTTCTCAGCACGAAGGCGTTGGATTTTTGTAGAAATTTTAGAAGTACTGAATTACAAAGGTGGAAGGAGATTATTTACTAAATAGGGCTCTGGCTATCCGTTAGATGAACAAGTGTATTTTCAATGACTAGTCGTTCCACACACCCATACGTGAAGTTCGATCCATTTCAATTTTCGCGTGTGGGAAGTTTCAATTTACCTATTCTGATGCCAACTACTAGCAACACTACTAGCAAAAGTTTACGGAACATCGCGCGAAAGTTAAGTTCCGTAAACCTGTCTCTGTGAGGACGAGCCCTTCCGTTTATAAGAAATGAACGAAAAAATTATGAAAGAACAAGCATACGTGGTTTCATACTTTTGACTTTCACCGCCTTACCGCGCTGACCGCACTGTGTTTGGCGCAATGCATGCAGTATTCCTACAGTCTTGTAGGCGCTATCCGTCTCCCGCGCTCCGCGCGCCAACCGCTGCTGACCGCGCTGTGTTTGATGCAATGCGTGAAGTATTCGTGCAGTCTTGTAGGCGCTAATATGTGTTACATGCCGACCGCTGCGCCGAAGGCTTCTCCTTTTCATCTCAAGTCCTCGTCATCATTGCTCTCTGCGCCGCGCCGTTCCAGGTCAAATTGCGTGTTTATGGTTTCTCTCTTACATCGACTAATTAAAGGTGCTGTCTCTTGTATCATCGAAAGACGGCAAAATTAGAAATTACTATACTCTCTGGAAATGAGAGATTTTGTCGCCTTATCTCCTTTGTAATTGTTTTTCTGAATCCAATTTTTTTATACTTACATGTAAAAAAATTGCAACATTTATCGCCCTTTGAATTTGCCGCCATGGGCCGCGGCCCACGTGGCCACCCCCTAAATCCGACCCTTCGTGAAATGTTAATGAAGACATTTCGACGGTGTAGGTCTGCAATCACATAACTCGGTTTGAAACGTCGCAGACTTCCTGTCATATTTTATTTTTTAAACGGAAAACTCCTCAGCGGCAATTCTTTATAACAGCCGTGATTTTTCTTCGCTATGCGAAGAAAATGCTGCTTAAACTTGAAGGAATGATGTCAATTTGATCGCCTTTAAAACAACAACATGGAGTCGGAGATTTTCAGACACCGCAAACGAGTTATGTGATTGCCAACTTACACCGTCGATTTGTTTTATAACTTCCATACGTTGTCTAGTGATCTATTCCCAAAGTCGCTCTGCATATTTTCCTAGTTAAGTTATCTGAGTCTGGAAAACATTCTATGTTGGATGATGGTAGTAAATATAGAGGGTTGCTGAGGCTGGCCTTTGACAAACCTCACTTTTTGCTTTCACGTTGTTATATTAATGAAGCACAAGCTACTCGCCGCCAATGATCGCGCGCAGGCATCGTGGCGTGAGGGCAAGGGCAGCCAAAACGCCTTCAATTTTTTAGGTATGCAATACGGACAGTCATCGAGCACGAATAGTTGCATCAAGGCGTTTTTTCCATTCTCGCTTCGCGACGCTATCATTTCCCAGAATAAAGGCTACCTTTTCCGTATCTGTTTGAAATAAATGTGGCGATAATTTTCCACACAAAAGTTCGGACATTATCTTTCTGTTTCTCGATTAAAATACCATAGTGTTGCAGACTATTGTCATTTGATTGCGTAAGAATAAATTCAAAATAGTATTCAATGAAATTGCGAACAGAAAGCACACTAAAACTCCTTGCCGGAAAAAAAATGAATCACCCCTGAAATTTTAAATTATGAACTATTACCTTTCTTTTAACGACTCAGTTTAGCAGGGTGGCCAAAACATTCTGGCTAAAAATGATCCGATTCGATAAAAATCACCTCATTGAAAATTATGGTTTTTTGGCATTGTGATCCTCTTTCCCGCAACCGGTCAAATTACGTTGCTCCTCTGGCATAAGAGCGTATCTTTATCTTCACATGAGCCGTAGAAAGCATGGATTTATAGTAAAACAGGGCTCAAGTGGACATTGAGATAAGCTCTCACGTCAGGAGAGCGACGATAAGTCCCGTTTTGCTGGTTCCATACTTGAAACGTGTTCTTTAAAACCTCGAGAGGGCTCCCCGTCGAAATCTCAAAAATCAATATTGCGACCGGACTGGGTGTATGTCGCTTTTCTGAAAATTTTAGCTCCGTGAGCCAGAAGGCCCTCCAAGTATTACGAAAGGTATTTTGACCGATTTTTACCCCCCCCCTTCTGCCTCGTGAGGCAACCGCAAGATAACCTCCCACATTTTCTTTTAAATTATGGAAGACTGGCTTGACCTTTCGGCCTCTAGGGCTTCAGAAAATAACCCACAAAGCCTGAATTATAGCTAACAACAATTAATTTCATCATAGACAGTATTTGTTTTTTTTTTTTTTTTCTTAAATGGGGGGCTGACACAAAGACTGGGCTTGACAACCCCTCCTCACCCTCTCGTAAGACCTCGCAAGGCAAGCTCAGACTTCTTAACCTTATTAATTGGCTTGTGTAATAATCCCTGGTAAAAATTGGCAGTAGAATCTGTGTTCCAAAATACCATAGACCTAAAGCAGGCTGTAAGATTTTCAAAAGCTTCTACATATAGCCGGCTGCACAATTTCTTATGGCCTTTTATAGCCGATGGCGATTGAGCAACAGCCAGGCGATAAAGTGTATGCTGAATGTTACTAATTACGGATAAGATTTTGATAAGATTTTTTAAATTTTAAAAATTTTACTTATTTATAATTTGTTTTATCAACATCTTGTATACTCAATGTAATTAACCCTAGTCTGCCTGAGCCTCTAAACCAACGAAAAAGCCTGAGCGGGGTCAATTTGACCCCAGCTGAAAATCAATTAGTTAGCTATGTTTTTTTCATGTTTTTAGTTAATATTAGTGCACTAACCTTACAGGCCTTAACCATAAAGCATATCTAAGTTTTAAAAAACACGGCGCAGGGTATGCAACCATTTTATCATACACATGTTGCCATGTTGTTCTCAGCATGAGAAAAAAAAATCATAGGGCTACTAAATACCGAAAACGAAAAAAATCTGAAAAATTTTGCTTGTTTTATAAGTTTCTGAAAAAAATTAAAAAGATAAAAATGAATACATCTTCAAAGTAAGCTTTTGTGATGCTAAATGGCAAAATATATGTTATAAGGATATCTAACCCCGCTCAGGCTTTCTAGGGGAACTCGTGAATTTTTTGATCTCTCATGCACATTCCCCCCCCCCTTCAAAATCGTGTTCCTAGATGTTTTCGTAGAGCTATTTGTGAAGGACAAAAAATCTCGTCCATACCACGAGAAATGGCAAAGAGTTGAAACTCCCGTGGGGTCAATCTGACCCCACTCAGGCAGACTAGGGTTAATCTAAATATTTAGTTAGCCAACTCTAGGGACATTGCGCCATGCGTGAAGTATCCCTGTTAGGTTTGTAGGCGCTGGTGCGCGCTTATCGCTGGCAGCACGCCGCTCCGCTCTGTGTTAGGCTCCAATATGTATAATCTTGCGGAGTCAGCGCTTTTCAACTCATGATTTTGAAATGTTTGCACATCCTGTATGGATTATTCTCATTTTAATTGATGAGAAAAAAATAAGTACTAAAGGAAAATATAATGTGTGTTTTGTGAATACTATGGTGGTTCCGTATCAAACTTAATGATTTCCAAAGCACGCGAATTTCTACACAATTTCTGATAGCTTCTTATAGCCGATGGCGATAAAGTGTAAAGCCCGGCGATAGGAACTATAGCCCGGCTGCATACTTTTTTAAGGCTTCGTATAGCCCGGCTATATGATTTGCTCCGCTTTCTATAGCCAGCTTTATGATTTTCTATTGCCCTCTTTAGCCGGCTATAAGAATTCCTATGGTATTTTGAAACGCAGCTCCTGTCGCCAATTTTTACCAGGGATTAACAGCCCCCAAGCAGGGCTGGACCAAAGAAATGAAATGTTTGAAAGATTGCAGATATCCTGGAAGTATCTCAAGAAGTTCACAAAGCTGTGAAAAATATGATACATGTTGTCCGGGGCTAGGCTGAGTATGAAACTTGCACTAAAAAAAAAAAAAAAAAAACAGGAAGCAAAAAAACACTTGCCTCTTATTTACTTTCATATTTAATTTTTGAAAATATTTTTACATCTTTCATATTTTTCCGAAATTTGAAATATTTCACTTGAAATTTCAATACTTTATTTTCAACGAAAAATTGCAACCGTGCCCCCAAGATCCCTATCATGGCGTGCTAAAGAAGAACACCGCATGTACATTCAAGAATTGCCAAATTTCCTTCGATAAAATGTTATTTTTGAGAAAAATAAAGAATATATTCCCTTGAAATTTTCAGACGCTTTGGGTCTAGTTACAAACAAAATTATCTGAGAAATTGGTAGACAAACAATCAAAACTTTCCCTGAAAATTAGTGATTTGCCTGGGAAAATTTGGCAACGCAGAAGGCTCATACGGCGTTTTTCCTTAGCACGGCAGTATCCCCGCACAGGGTTCCAAGAAACAAGTAATGAATATTTTATCTTGCATCCCTGCCGAAGAGGGTCTTTGTTTATATTTACTCAAGTGAGATTATTCAGACCCCGCGGTGATTGGAGGAAAGCGGAACGCGATCGGAGCGCGGTCTAACGGCGACGGAGGGCATGAGGAGGAGCTTGGGCGCCCGGGGGGATTTCCGCGGGAGAGACCGCGCTTTAAATGGTGCCCGGTGCCCCTTTGCCAAGCTCATTACTCATAATTAACTCGAGGCTTTCAGTTTCGTGCACCGCGCGCCCCAACCGACCACGAACACAACCACAACGGCCACCCCGCTTTGGCATCTTCGCCCGTCGCATCATCGCTTCCAAGTTTATTCATAATTCGTTATTCGCTTCCCGTGCGGTTCGCGTCGTGTTTTTGTGCTCGCTCGCTGTGATTTTACGAAACGCATCATGAGTACCATTGTTGAAAGCCCTGTTCTCCTCCCCAGCACATTTAAGGTATGTCGAGCTTTTCACAGCTTTTTTCAATACAAGATGCGGTCAGGGCTGCAATTTTTCATGAAAAATACATTTTTGAAATTTCATGTCAGATATTTCATGAAATTTCAGAAAAATATGAAACATATTTTTCAACATTAAATGCAAAATTAAATGAAAGGCGACTGGTTTTTGCCATTGGGTGTTTTTTAGTGCGTGTTGCATACCCAGCCCCTGAAAATATGTTTTCTATTTTTCATATTTTTCCCAACTTTGTGAAATTTCATGAAATATTGCACGGAAATTTTCAACATTTCATATTTTTCATTTCACCCGTACAACCTTGGATGCGGTGTGCTTAATCAAAACGTTTCTTGGTCATCGGTAAATGGACCGAGTTTATCAGAAAGGAACCAACCCACATTTTCGAAAAAATTCAGTTTAAAATGTAGTCGAGTCCCACTAGCCGTTTATTTTCTCCTGCCAAAAACTGAAAGTCGAAAAAAAAAACTCGTTTGTGAAAAGAGGGGTTAAAGTTTATTTACTACATTGAGCCTCACAGTGGAATAAAACTTTAAGCCTCGTTTTCTCAGTTTAACTTAATGTGGGTTGGTTCCTCTCTGCTGAACTCGGTCCAGTTTTTTCGGTGTCCTAACGAAGCAGTTATCGATGCGAGAGCAATCAGGCTGCTGGACCAAAAAATTCCTAGTCACCGAAAATGAAATCTTTCTTTTTAAAAATTGACCTACTTTGGTAAAAATATCGACCTAATTATCTTTTGAAAAGGTAGGGTTTAACTGGCCTCTGCATGCTGCCATTTTTTGCTGTATATCTTATTTTTTCATTCATGAAATGGTGCTTCTCTACATCGAATGTCTTGGGAAATGTTTTTCAAAACACAAATAAAAAAATCATATCTAATTTCAGAGGAAAATTTGTAAATCTTCTCGAGTCAATGAATACATTTTTATGAGAAACTTCACAACATAGTAATTGAATCAAGCTTCTTTGGGTCGCACTAACAACTTTTTGCAACCGTCCATGAGAAAAACACCTTTGTTGATATGGAGGCAAAATTTTCAGTAAAGCGATTTATATCGTGTTGTGCTTAAAATCGGAATTCCAAATCTTGACAGAGAACTCACTCTAGTGGCCTACAGGATATATCGCACAACCTCTTTTTTGCGCCAAAATTAGGCGTAAACCTACATTATCCGGAAAATTCTCACCGTGAACACAGCTCAGTAGAATTTTAAGGCGTTTTTTCTTGAAAGCGCAAACAGCAAATTGCCATTTTAGAGCGATTTGCCATTTTGCCATTTTTTGGTCGATTTTGAACATGGGCGGAACCTGAAATTTTCGTGGGGGTAGGGGGCAAATTCGGATGGCCTCATCCAGGGGACGTNGGGGGGGGGGGGGGGGAGAAGACATTCTGCTAAGGAGGTCTATACGGGACTCCTCTTGCTCATAGGAATGTTCGGGAGACTTTCCTTGCTTAAAAAGCGGATCCAACTCGGTAAATTTTGGAAAATTTAGGCGTCCTACAGGCAATTTTGAGCTATTGTCACCGATAAATTGATCCTATTACCATTTTCAATTAGAGAGATGTCTCGCGTACTTACTTAGCAAAATCCCTTCATTTCTCGACAGGGGCCAAGTAGATTTCTGGGGGGCCAGGCCCCCCGACCCCCTATTACTGCCGTCAATTTTGACATCTCTTGGTAGCTTTTGTCCAAATGTATTTGTACAGCATCTTCTATTCTTTGATAACAATATCTCAATCCTCTATCGCGATAGTGCTTACCATGGTTTCTTCCACCTTGCTTTATCAGAAGTGGATGTGGATGAACCAGTGAAACTGCACGTACCAACTGACTGATAATGCTAAGGTGGAAGAAACTATGGGATGCACGCGGTGGATAACGCCAATCATTGTGTTTTCTGTACGACATTATCTCAGTTTAAAAGCGGACATACGAAACTTAGCGTTTAGAGGCTTCCAGGACTTTATGTCCACCTACCTTTCGTCCATTAAATAAATGTACACCGCTATTTATGTCCACTAAACGTTAAGTCAAGTCTTTATAAGTCCACATGATTTAATGTCCAACCATGAATATGTCCAAAATTGTCCAAATTGTGGACATGTTATGTCCACATTTTTTTCTTCTCATTTAAATGACAGGAACCACCTCAAAAATAAATGCATACTACTACTACCTTCATTCTTAAAAACATTTCATTCATGAATCAAGTTATGAAAGAGAACAGACTCTAAGAGCAGATAAAAACATATGTTCATGTGTACACTGTACGGATATGATAAGATAAAACCAAAGCGGGAGCCTAGGAAACGCTCCAATGCCAAATTAAACATTTTTCAGTAACAGATGCAGTCAAAATTGAAAGTCCTCTTTAACTAGTTATTTCGAACGCCTTCAATCTTGTAGGATACTGTGCAACGCCTCTGACGCGAAATAGTTGCTTAAAGCGTTGCGGCGCGGTAGGAAACCAGTGGCGTGACACGCGCATAGGCGCCTACAAACCTAACGGGATACTTCACGCGTTGCGCAAGTGAAGTATCCCGTTAGGTTTGTAGGCGACAGTGCGCGTTCTGCGCTGCTAACACGCCGCTCCGCTCTGTGTTAGGCTCTAATATTTAAACTCGCGGAGTCAGCGTTTTTCAACTTATGATTTTGAAATTTTTGCACTCTCTTCATTGATTATTCAGAAATAACTATTAGAAATTAACATTTCATGTAAAATATGAGTTACAATAACAACACCTCATTCTCTCTTAATTTTCTCATTTCGATATTGTCAATATAATTTTACATACGGACTAAAATATGACACTTGAATTTGATTTTAGTGGACTTTACATTTGTGGACTTAACTTAGTGGACGTTTAAGTAATGGACTTAACAATAGTGTGGGCTTTAGAACTGTGGAGTAAAAATTGTGGACGAAAAGCCCGTGGACGTAAAAAAAGTGGACTTAAAGTCCGTGTACCGTTTAGAGGACTTAATATTTCGCACCCGTCTGTAAGCTACGATAATTTCAGAAAGATTTTGCAACACGAGAAATTATCCCAAGTTTGCAACTAATAATCATACACCTCATGGGAAATAACCCTCTTTTCTGTTTCTTCTTTTTTAAAAAGGTGAGTGCGGTTGGATTTCAATTATCTTTCTGCTTATTTCCGACATAAAAATTTGGAATGTTGTTAAAAAGAAAATTGCAAAATGAAAATTTTCGAAAATATTTTCAGTAGAGTATAGTTGAGCCTCACTGCACACAGAAAAAATTTCTTTCGGAGCAATAAAAATCCCAGTTAATAATTTTCGGACGCGAATTATTTTTCAGTCTAAAAGAAATCTCCTTGTTTTAAACGGTACTTCTCTCATTTCAAAAAGACACCTTGTCATTGTAAAAAAATTTCCAGTCGACTCGATGAGAGTTCCCGGCGGAAATCTTTAACCGGAAAATTTTTCTCGATGTGGGCCCAACCCCGGTGACTCAAACTCAATTTGGAATTTTCTGTGAACTAAGACCCCCTTCCCCGTGGACGGTCACGCCCACATCCAAAACTAGCATTCACTGCAAATGTATTACAAGCACGTCTATTCAAGCAAAATACATCACTCCTGTTGAACACACCTGACTGTTTTATTTCGTACAAAGAAAATCAACTCAATAAAATTTTAAGCGGTGACAGGAAATTTCACTTCAGTTGAATCACTGGGAATCTCATCCATTTAAATGTGTGCGCAGTAACACCTGTGAAAAAAGTTGGGGTCTTTCCCCTTAGTAGGAACGTCATTGGAAAGCAGAAGATTAAATGTCTGGAATGATCTGTATTAAAAAATCGTCGTAGAGAGAGCCGAGACACTAGAAGATCCATCTCTATTTTATACCCTTTTTTGTCGCTCTGCGTGAATACGTATCGATTCAAAGCCAAACTAATGAAAGAACGCGAAAAAAAATTAGCTTCTATAAAATAAGCCGATTCGCATGAATGAGACCAGGATAGTGAAGAAATTAAAAGTGAGAGATAGTTTTTATTTGTCGGTCGGTATACGATAAACGAATCTTAATAAACGACGAGGACAACCTAGACGAAACCGCGGCACGTGTGCCGTCCTGCGAGCCGAAAATCGCCTAAGTTGAATGGGAAAATCAAGCACCAATCGCTTTTTTCTACAATAACGATTCGATGGACTGATCTACGATGCTGACGGCGAAAAAACTCGCGGGCGGCGGAAAAAAATGTGCTCGACTATTCGCGGCGGCCGTTGACGCATATTTCGCGAGATGCGCGTGGCCGAGTGGGTTCCCCGTGCCCCGAGGAGGGGGGCCGGGGGGGCCTCTTCACGCGCTGCGATTACCCCCTTTAGGAAGTTCGCGAGGAGGATTTGACCTTGAGGAATTTCTTTTGCTCTTGGCGAGCTGGCTTAGACGGTCCTGATCATCCTCCGACGGCGTGGCCAGCGCATTTTTCGCGCCATTCCCCCATTGCTGTCAGATTTCCAAGAAAACATGCCCCAAATCCAGCGTCTCCGATCAAATTGAATCGCTGATTTCGAAAATGACCTAACGCCGAAAAATCAAAAAATCGTTTTATTGCAGTGAAACAGTACTCTATAAGGCCAGGCGCGACGATACAGATATTTTACCTCCTATATAATATTAACATTTGCAGATCTCATACATTCCGAAACTGACTCATCTCTGGTAATTTCAATCATTTATATGTCCGAGGCAGAGGAAGAGTTCCAGAAAAGAAGTTCAGTGAAACTGCCTATATGTCTCCCACATATATTTTTTCAATTACAATCAAAAACTCCAAGTGATACGTTTGCATGCGGAGCTTTCCTGAAAAGTTTGACTAAATAGTCAGAATTTTTACTATTTAGTCAAAATTTTCAGGAAAGATCCGATCACAGACAAATAGAGGTCCTCAATTGGTGTCCCAGCAATGGCGGAAACTTTTAATTTTGGGGTTTTTATACGCCCTGTTG